GTTTGGGGGGACGCTACAGGCTGCACTGTAGAAGTATAAAAAGGGGTCGGAAAAATACTAACAATGCTTCCTTATGGTCCCTTAAGAAGAATACGACAATAACCCCCCCACCCCCCCCCCCCCCCCACCCCCCCAAACAAAAAGAAACACATTCTACTTATTAAGGCTCCTACAGTATATTCTGAGAAAGATCAGATCTTGGTGGGGCCCCGCACAAGCCGCTGAGAACAGTTTCGAAATGAGCTGCTCGTCAGCCCAAATGTGGGAAAACATCTCTTTAACCCTAAACCCTAAACCCTAAACCCTAAAACCCTAAACCCCAAACCCTGAACCCTAAACCCTAAACCCTAAAACCCTAAAACCCTAAACCCTGAACCCCATTGCCTGCAGGGACGCTCGGCGGCAGCGTCATCTCGGCGCTTCGCTGGCGCTCCTACAGCCCACTTGGGGGTTTCCTCTCTACAGTAAGGCCTTAACCCGAAACCCTAAACCCTAAACCCTAAACGCTAAACCCTAAACCCTAAACCCTGCTTAGGGTTCTCCCTTGCAGGAGGATCCTCGTGTATCTGGACGAGTGACAAATACAAACCGCCCCTTGTTTTGGGGGGGCACTTGGAGGTTCATGGTACTTAGAACCCAATGAAAACTGTACTCGTAACCCAGCCATAACCCCCGTTAGGGCACTGAAGGGGCTTTTAAGTGGGCTACAACTACACGTACAATCGGGTTGCTAAGTACCATGAACCTCCAAGTAGAGTCTTTTTGGGGGTTTAGGGCTCCGATTTTTGCAACCAGAGAGCCTAAGCCCAGGAGTTCTGGAAACCCCAAAGCAAGACAGGCTCCTTGTAGTAGTTTTTTTTTTAGGGTGTAGGGTTTAGGGTTTAACACGCCGAACCCTACATCGGATTGAATACAACTTTGCGAGTTTGTGAGAATAAGGGACCCCTAGAATAGACCGCGAAATAGTAGGACTCCACTCCCTTATAATGAGGACCCCAAAAAGGAAGTTGTAATTTGGGAAACCCCCCCATTTTGAGGTGCAGAGTTGGCAAATTTAGCCCGAAGAACCCATCCCTAAACCCTAAACCCTAAACCCTAAACCCGCTAGCATGAGATTTTGGGACTCCCGACTCCTGACAGGCCCTTAACGCACTTGAGGCGCATGCCCAAGAGCTTGCCATAAACGACACCATACTCTCCAAAAGCTAACACCCAAACAGTATAGAGTTATACAGTCTAGACACCCTACACCCCTACCAGTACATGGCTGTGGGCTCTGCTTGGGGATGCTTTTTAGAGTCCGCGTTTCACTACCCCGGGGGCCCTGACCCCGAACCTTCGGACCCTATGGGTAGGTCTCTTAATGAGGGTCTGCTAGGACGGTCCCTTGCTTTAAGGATATCGTACTATCTAGGGGAAACCAAGAAGGGAACCGAATTCAGAGAAATGCCCACACGCCCCAGTGCCCCCATCTCTCCCGGAGTACCACTGCCGCGCTGCTTGTGGGCAGCTGGCTTTGGCTTGGGCACCGGCTGGCGACGAGCTTTTCGGCCCATTGCTTGGTGCCGTTGGAGGCATAAGGGACGCCAAACCCTAAACCGCGGTTTAGGGTTCAGGGCTGGGCGTCCTAGGTCCGGGAGGAGGCTGTAGGTTTTAGGGGGCTTTTCGGGCGTTTTGAGCAAGAGTTTTGCAGGAATCCGCATGGTTTTGGGCCTAGATCTTTACATGTTTCGAATCCTCGGGAGTTCGGATATAAGGCCTATAGATTTTAGGATTGGCTAAAGGCTTGCGATTCAGAGTGCTTAGGGGGTCAGTAGTTCGTTGGGGCTCAGGGACTTAAAGGCTAGAGGCTTAATATCGTGAGATTCAGTGAAGCTGCAGCTGTTCAGGCCACAGGATGGCCCTGCTGTGCAGGGTAAGCTGGATCTCGACTTGGCAGGATTGCAACGAAGCCTCCAGGCTCCACCGGACAGAAGTGAGGGTTTAGGGTTTAGGGTTGAGGGTTGAGGGTTTAGGGTTTAGGGTTTAGGCTTTAGGGTTCAGAGTTTAGGGACGAGTCACACGCAGCCCCACTTGCAGGTTCGACAGGGTTTTGGGTTAAGGGTCTAGGGTTGAGGGCTTAGGATTTAGGGTTTAAGGTTTAAAGTACTTCGATGTAGGTCATTATAGGTAGGGCAACTCTGGTTTTTGCCTGATTTACGGGACTGCTACCCCTACTCATAAGCACCCCTGAACCTCCAAGTTAGGGAGGTTCTCCTAGGTTTGGGACTGCCCTTGCTCAACCGTGCCGACCGCATATCAACCGACCGTACGACGAGGATATTGTCGCAGGCCATTGGACGTGTTTCTCCAGTCTTATAATTCCCGAAGCCCTAAACCCTATACCCTAAACCCTAAACCCTAAACCCGAAACCCGAAAGGTAGAGTCCTCTACTGAAGCTTGCTCGAATCTGCAAAGAACATTGAGTACTCGGTCTATGTTTTAAAAACCCCTTCGATG